GTAAATGTGCATTAGTTATTAACATTCTAATTTTAAGGTTTCGGAGAGGTTTCGGGTTTCGGTGCCCAACTCTAAATCAATCAAGATGATAGTTTTCCATAGATGGCTAACTGTACACAAAATATAACTGAAAGTCCGATGGCAGGTTTTCCTTTGACAGCAATTATATGTTGATATATCGAAATAAAAAAAAAAAAAGTTAACAAATTTTTTTTAAATAAATCTTTTTAAAATTTTAAGATAAAAACCCAACAACAGATTAATCAAATTTAATAAATTTTAAAAAATATAGTTAAGATTTTTGAATTATTTTTATTTAAAGATTTAAAAAAATTTATTAGTAATATATAATATTTATCTGTTATATAAATACAGTATACGGTATATTAAATCATTAATTTATAAATTTATACGATCTAGAAAACAGTTTAATTTTATAAGGTTATATAGCTTATATTAAGTTTTTAAAATTTCGATTAAAATTTTTTTACATTAAACAATAAATATTCATATCGATATATTTTTTTTCAAAAAAAAGAATAAAATAAATTTAATAATAAATTTTGGGGTCAGTGTAAAGCGAATATTGTCACACAAGTTACATTCTGGGTAAACAAAAAATGAAATTTGAATAGATTGACATATTTGGAGACTGGAATAATTCTTAATGTGGCTTTCAAAAAGCAAACAAATGTACTGATGTTTCATCGTTTAAAATGCCATTTTTATATGTTTGTACGTATGTTTATGTTTTCGGTGACCTGGACTAAATAGGAGGCTGGTTTTAATACTATTTAATACGTAGAACATTTTATCGACAACGTTTTTTAAATTAACTTTATGTAAGACTATGCAAATAATACCGACATAGAATTTTCCTAGAATCGATAGGGGCTACTTTTAATATATGCATACTTAGCAGTTAGGAAGAACATATGTGCAGTACGAACGTACGCAATACGTGTAAAATAAAATATCTAGAATTTCATATTGTCTTTTTTTCTTTCGGTTTTTTTTAATTTGAAATTATATTTTTCCACTTCGCCATCATTGACAAATGACATTAATGACATAATGATACCAATCAAAGAGATTCAAAAAACTTACTAAATGCGAATCTATTGTAACTGTTTATCCTACCCAAACAAGCAACACCACGCTGTACGACCGTGCAGTCGGCCTTATTTGCGATACAATCAATCATTTCCATCAACTACAAGTATTGATATCAAGTAATTATTTTTTATAACGTATTGAAATCTATAAAAGATCTCATCTCCTACTTTCCCTTTTTCTAACATTCAACTCCTAAAATTCTCAACATTAATCCTTTTAAAGATAATAAAAATTTATCCTGCATATTCACTTATATTCATACTTATATTCGTTTTTAATAACGTTCAAAAAAAAAAATTAAAAAAATGACTGCACAAGTTGATACCAGAGAACCTACCAATTTTGCTACCGACAAAAGTTTCTATGCCATTACCAGAGTTGCTTCAAAGAAATTTTCAAGTCTTCGTCGCCGTATCTCTGGTCGTGATTCCGTTCGCAATCTTGATGTTAATTCATTAACAATCTCAAATAATAAACAACAGAGAGCAAAAGTCAATTCCGTCCAACAAGAAAATTTCTACTTTGCAGGGCAAAGAACAAATTATAATCAAAAATCACCAAAGATGGATAAAGACAATGTATTAAGAAAATTTGAAGAAAGCAATGACTCGGTTGCTCAAGACTTGCAGCTTACTAATTTAACTAACAAAGAAATTGAACAAAGCTCAACCAATGAAAAACCTCTCAAGAGAAATTCTTCTTTAGGAAAAGTCAAGAATGCTGTAAAACGATTTGCTAGTATTAGACAAGAAAGAAAAAGAGATTCTGAAGCATATCATCAAGATGGGAAAACAAATCCTTTCGAATAAATATTAGGTTTAGACAACTTTTCTTTTTGTAAATATGTTTGATCTGAAATTTGCAACGTTAGTTAGCACTTAGATGCCATGTGATAATTTAATCTATATATGTATAAATATAGTGAATTATGTATTTATATACAGTACTAGTTTTATTTATTAATTATTAATAAATATTAATATTGATAAAGTAACTTCTAACTTTGTGTTTGTAACTCGGTTTTATAATAAACCGGTTAAAAACAGATTATATGCAAAAATGATCAAGCCTCGTGATTCATGCATAAATCATACGATCTATATTTAATTTAGGCTTTACAATAACGATAACATAACGGATAAGCAAAATTAAAACCTAATATATATATATGTTATATATATATATATATATATATATACTTATTATTATATATATATATATATATTATTATATATATATATATATATATATATATAAAAAATACAGCTTTGAGATTTTCTTCGATGAGTAATACCGATAAACTACGATTGCATATCCATATGAACTTGGTAAACTACCAATTCTCGGATAAATATTTATATGTATTTGCAAAAAAAAGAAATCGATTAAAACTCTGTTTAGTTATCTAAACTATCTTTACATTTTCTAAATTTCCAAATCTGAGAACTCAATCAACTTTTTGAGGCTAAACCATAATTAGAAGAATTTTCATCTCATACTCATTCTCAAATTAGTAATATCAGGCACCTAGATTCTGCTCTTGAGCTCAGTTTCACTTAGTCTTTCTTAATTTCACATTCTTGGTTTCAATCTCACTAATCTTAGCTAAGAGCTTTGTGGTTTCTTGTCTTAATAATTTAATCTTGGATCGCATGTTTATCATCCGTTTTATACAGTATTACGGTAGTAAAAACGGCTATGTTTTATGAGCAGTATTCGAAATTATTGTTTTCAGAATACTCATGAGAACAGCTAAATATTAGTGCGTAACCTAAACCTAAATCTTTACTATTCTCTGTTAAAAAAATTTTTGTGCTCAATAAAATGATACGTATAAATGATATTCATATTCCTATGTAATACGTATTTGTCAATTAAACTAGTGCTTGTATTCGAAAATATACTATATTCGTAAATATGTTCGAATATATTATTTTACATAATTATATATTACAAATATTTATAATTATTACGAATCTTCACAATAATTACGAATATCCATAATAAGTATAAAAATTCATAATTTTTACGAATTCTCATAATTATATCTGATATATAAATTATATATATTATAAATCTATATTACGAACCTTCATAATTATATACTATGAATCCTCTTAATTATTATGAGTATTCATAACTGATAATTATGATGAATATTCGTAACTATATTTGAACTATTGCAAAAATATATAATTATGAATATAAGTACTAAATTAAACAATTTAATTAATGAATTATTTATATGCTTTTTGTTCTTTTTCTTTTTTTAGAAATAGAAAATACAATGATTTGAAAGCCTGTTGTCCTAATACGTATGAGAACAACTGAAACCATCACATGCTTTGTAGATCTATTACACGATAACAATAAAAAAAATTTTATCTACTTTTTTAGAAAGCTCACGTTACTATCCTAATTTGAAACGTCAATAATATCAGCTGAATTCCCTTGATTTACAACTGTAAAAGATGTAAGTAAATAGTTTATGAAACAAATTCTAGAATTTAAGCAATAAAAACTAAAAAGTTAAAAGCAATGATTCAATAATGAGGTTGAGTGTTAGCTTAGGGTGTTAATATCAATTCAGTAATTACGTAATTTCCCCTCTAATATAAGTCCCTCTAAATAAACAGAATAATTTTGTTCGATTTTAATTCTCAATAACGGTTTTAGTAATTAGTGTTTAAAGTATTAAGCAAAAATGGTTAGCATCCTAAAATATTCTAACCTTTAACTTTAATTTTAACTTTAAAAATTTTAAAATAAAAAAATTCCATAAAAATATTATAATAATCAAATATACTGATAAAATTCACCTCCGGTGATTTTTTTAGTCTTTTTAAAACTTATAATTGATTGGCTGAATAACATATGACTATTTATTCGCAGATCATAATGAAATCGGATTAAAATGAAACTGGCAACCTTTCTTG